TTTAAGGATTCATGAACAAGGCCAAAGGTTATTATAATTGATCTCCATATTGTTAATGGTAATACAATTCCAAGAATGTACACTTGTACAAACATACATGAAGGCCTTATATAAATAATGATCATGAATTTTATATTTACTGGGGCAAGGATCATTAATTTTATATTTACTGGTGCAAGGTTGATGAAGGCCTTATATAAATAATGATCATGAATATTATATTTACTGGTCCAAGGATCATTAAGTTTATATTTACTGGTGCAAGGTACTACATTTAATAACTTTAATTATAAAAACACTTAATGCATTGTCGGCCTATGAATTTTATATTTACTGGTGAAAGGATCATTAATTTTATATTTACTGGTGCAAGGTACTATATTTAATAAATTTAATTATAAAAACACTTCATGCATAGTCGGCCTAGGTGTGGACTACTCCGAACATTTGGACAGTGATAACCTTTTAGTAGAGAACAACTTTGCTTTATGAAACAGTTTCCGACAATCAATCATTATTTGTTTTGTCAAATTTTTGGGTATCAAAATTGAGAGAGAGAGAAATGGTGTTTAACGTTCACTTGACTCGATGATACAACAAAAAACACAATTACTATTTTAATTAAAGCGACATTTCGTTGAGGGTTCTCTCAACGTTTTCAAGTAAATGATGCTCAATAGTCAACGGTGCACACGTCCGCTTGCCAGCCTATCTTTTATAGTCCCATTGGTGCAGAAAAGTAGGAAAATTAAATAAAATTAAATGAGATTAAACATCCTACTGTTTTGCTCTGAGTGAGCTAATGAAGACAGGCATACACTATATACAGTGTACTATGACGGAAACTTTGCACGGATAGCGGCACTATGGCCTACTCTGATATTGAATTACAACTGTCGGAGTGTCTTTTACGTGCATGCCAATATGTACATGAGGACTTGATTTTTTGTATGACCCGAACAACTATACCTTATCCCTTGCCAGATCCTCCGCCCTGCCACAGTCCATAGAAAATTTCCGTTATAGCACTCTGCATTGCGTATGACTATCTTCAATAGTCCGATTGGTGCAGAAAAGTATGAAAATGAATTTTAAATGGGGTTTGAACATCCTACTATTTTGTTCCAAGTGGGCTAATGAAGAAGGGCATATGCTATAATGGTTAAAATGTTGTGATTTCGGGTTAAAATGCCGTGATGTTGGGTTATCGCCTTATGAAGGGTGATATCAGTCACCATATCTACTGGGTTTCTTTAATACTCATATTTATAGTATTTTATAGAGTCAGACTAGTGGACTATTGAATGCACGGATTAGTGCATCCATGGACTAGTGAACCCACAGACTAGTAATTGGTAATGATGGAAAAGTGTGTAAAGACCTGTTTTACAGGTTGGCGTGCACTTAGAACTATTGGTAATGGCTATATGCGGAAATGCTGCTCTCCAGGCAAAATGTCTTTCCTAGCACATCTTCATTAGTAAGTGCGGTAATGCTGCTGTCCAGGCAAAATTTCTGTCATAGCACATCTTCATTACTAATTTTGATAAAGCCACGGTGGCTAAGTGCGTAAGATGCTGGCTCGGTAATCCGGAGGGCACGTGTTCGATCCCTGCATTGGTGGAGAAAGTTCATCAGGATTTTCCGACATGGTTTCCCCTTGTCAGAGTTGCAGGAACAAGGACAGTAGTCTAGTCACTCAGATGGGACAAAAAACCGAGGTACCATGTATACATTGGCTTGCACGAAAAGATCCCTTGGCAGTTGGATTCGATATTAGTAGGCCATAGTGCCTCATAGCACATTGTATGGTATGTACCTGTCTTCATTAGCCCAGTCGGAGCAGAACAGTAGGACAATAAACCGATTTCATCAGGACAAACCTACATGAGGAAAAACCTACATTTCACAAACTTAGTAATTAGTAACGGGGGGGGGGGGGGTTGGATGGCTGAATGGTTAGCGTGCGGGCGCTGTATCATAAAGTCTGTCATTGAGTTGACTGGCGTGGTTTCGAATCCCCGGTTGTACGTGACAAGGAGTAGGGTCGCCTGTCCAACCTCCGGTTTTCTCCCACTGCTAAAGACCCCTACGCGCAAGCGAATTATGTAAATAAAAATTAAACCATATGTTAGTCCCGAAATGACCTAGTTTGTGTCGAGTAGACGTTAAACCCCATTTCTCTCTCTCTCTCTCTAGTAATTAGTAACACACTGGCTAGCAAATGAGGGGTTCAATTTCCGTGTTGGTCGAGAAAAATTAAATGAAATCGGGTTTAACGTCCTATGGCCTACTCTTATATCAAGTTCCAACTACCAAGGGATCTTTCATGTGCACTCCTGTGTGTACACGTGACCTCAGTTTTTCATCCCTGACTAGACAGCTGTTCTTGTCAGGCCCACCGTCCTGTATCACTGACAAGGGGAAAACACGCAGGAAAATCTGGATGAACTTTCTCAGCCAATGCAGGGATCGAACACCCGACCTCCAGGCTAGCGAGTCAGCGTCTTACCCACTTAGCCAACGTGATCCCCATGTTGGTCGAGAAAGTTCCCTTTGTTAGTAGTGGTGTAGGACAGAGGACCTCAAAAAAACAGTGTCTAGTCCATCACGTGGGTGTGCACGTAAAAGAACCCTTGACATTTGGAATTTGAAATGAGAGTAGATCATTCATTCATTCAGTTTCTCTTTGTGTGTCACCTACAGACCGCAACTATTAAAGGAGCTAGATCTCTACTCTTGGGCACTTAGAAATGGATACAAAATGTAATGAAATGAAATGGGGTTTAACGTCCAACTGTTCTGCTCCGAACTGGGCTAATGAAGATGGCCATACACCATACAGTGTGTTATGAGGGAAATTTTGCCCTGACAGTGGCACTACGGCCTACTCTTATATCGAATTCCAACTGTCAAGGGATCTTTTACATGCATGCCAATGTGTACACGGGACCTCAGTGTGATGCTCTCCGTCCTGCATCACTGACAAGGGGAAACCACGCCGGAAATCTGGATGAACTTTCTCGGCCAATGCAGGGATCGAACACCCGACCTCCAGGCTAGCGAGCCAGAGTCTTACCCATTTTAATGACTAGACAGCTGTCTTGTCAGGCCCTTAATTGTTAGTATCATGACATTAAACTGACATTTGTTTTACGTTTTACAACTAATATCAGGTTTATGTTAGAAAACTAACGTTAGATTTATGTTAGAAAACTAAAGTTAGATTTATGTTATAAAATTAACATTAGATTTACGTTAGAAAACTAACGTTAAATTAACGGTTAAAATTATGACATAAAACTAACACTAACGTTAGATTTACGTCAGAAAACTAACGTTAGATTTACGTCAGAAAACTAACGTTAGATTTACGTCAGAAAACTAACGTTAGATTTACGTCAGAAAACTAACCATAAACTAACGGCTAGAAACCTGATGTAAAATTTACGTTAGATTAACGTTAGAATTATAACCAATAATACATATATAATTATTATGTCTGAATTCCGACTATATATCAATTGTTAGAATGTGCACACACTTGTAATGTTATTTAATCAAGAAGTATTCAAAGGGAAAAAAATTGGTTAGTAATCCGTCATAAAGTTTACGTTACATTTACGTCATTTTCTGACGTAAAAGTAACCATAACCATTATGACGTAAAAGTAACGTAAATTTAACCAAAGAATTTTACCATTATTGGACGCTAACCAAAATCTAACCATAATGACGTAAACTTTACGTAAATCTAACCATCAATGTTAACTGGGTCATGATGACAGCGTATCGTTTAAAAAGATGGCGGTCTTAGTAACGGCTTAACGCCTTGATTTTAAAAACGACGATTTGTACCCTTTTCAGGTAGGATTATATGCTTAATTGTAGTTGGGTGTTGTAGAAATATTATAAATAACAATAATCAATCGTTGTTTTGATTAAAACTATTGTCAATTTTGTTTAAATTGTGATAGTTTGAGTTGACTCCTGGTGTGTGTCTTCTCCTGGGCACTTGTGCATGTCTGAAACTGATGTTTGCCTTAACAACGAAACTATATCTACTAAAAATCTACTTCCTGCGGTGCGAGTTGGTTCCTTGCAGTACAGGAAAAAGTATATCATGTACTTGATTAGAGTTTTGTCATTAATAAACATACTTGTTATCGTGATTAGCTGTTGTTTTAGTGATGAGTAGTTACACGATCAACGGATCTAAGTTGATTGGCTTGAAATTGATACTTCTATCGTTCGTGATTTGTTGCCGTTGTTTTTTTTTTAGTGATTAGTCGTTCTACACACGTACGATCAGTGGAAACCATACAAATTGATGATTGGCTTGAAATTATCAATTAATTCACCTCCAAAGGAAGATTAAGGCCTTTGATATTTTGTGGCTTCATTTATCACAAATATAAAAGTATGGAATTTCTTATTCCGATTTCTTAACATAAATATAGATTTATTATACCATCCCATACATTCAAACATGCATGTAGACAGCCCAAATACAAGAGAGAATGTTCGCATTGTGGACGGGTAGATCTATATATACTAAATAATAATAATAAAGATCGTCAATTTGCATCCTCTCGTGGTGGTAATACTGTAAATATCGGTACATAATAGTCTATATATTGATTTGACCGTAAGAAAATCTTAGGGGAAATCCTATCACGAGGTGTCAATGCACACCGCGACTGTAACGGTGTGAGTTGACTCCTACAACTGCGCATGCACCAAACGGTAATCACACACCAGGAACCATCTGAAACTGCCACACCGGGTGTGAATCACTCCCGCAGCTGCAACGTTATAGGTAATGGGCTCATGTCTTATCTCGAAACACGGAGGGTTGAGAGATTAAGGTTTGTTATCTAGTACGGTACATTACGTCGTCATTAGTATGATTAGTACTGTCATCATTACAAAAACTATTCTGAAGTGTAGGCCGTATTTAAGTGTTCTTATTTAATGTTTTTAAGGAATGGAAAAGTTTTTGAAAACTGTTAAACCCATTAGAAAAGTTAAGATTGTTCAGATAAGACATGGTAGATGAGTGAGCACCAGAAGAAGATCCATCAATTTATTGAACTCTACAACATTATCAGTAGCAGCAGCTTCAACCAGTTCAGCAATGACTTCAAGCAGTTCATTTCAACGAGAACCAGTTAATCAACCAGCTGTCAGTGGTAAGAATTTAGTTAAAATAGGTTTTTTAAGAACATATTGAGTAGGCTACCGATATTCAAACATTTGTCATTATTGAATAGAGGTACATCCTACACTATTGTCCCTACAGTTACGGTATTGTTACATCTGTGGCAGCAGAGGAAATACTCATAAAATGAAAGGTGTCAGAGGAGTAAATTCCACATGCAGAGTCTGTCAAGAAATAGAAACAAACGTAAATGCTAAAATAGCAAACTAAATGATTTTAGATTGAAAATAATGAAAAATAATTAATATCCTTTCGTATGGGCTGTTTAATCCTGTTTGGAATTTGAATTTATCAATGTTTGTAAAGTACTGGAAATTACAAGCAAAGTCATCAACATATCTTTTTTTTCTATCTTCAAGATGTAAAACAAGAATTCAGTGATAGAAGACAGAAGATTTTATATGGTTGGAGTGAACTACGTTCAAAACTGGTACATACTCATATTGAGGAGTTGTCACCTGCAACCAGAGTTTGTAGTTGGTGCAGTGAAGTTGTAGAGAACATTGTTTTTTGTCAGGATTGTGGTCCTATGGCGTATTATTGCATGTCTTGTTGCTATAGTCTTCATGAGACTGTAATGTTTCATTCACCACAAATTTGGAAGGTAATGACATTTTTTAATAAGATTTTTGTAATGAGGATAGACTCATGCTATTTTTTAATCAAATGTTTCTTTTTTTTTTAATTCAATTTTGATGATAAATGTTTAACTATACTATGAAGTCGTGTATAGAAAGTAATTCAAATTATGAGAACTAAAAACAGATTTTATATTATTTCTAGATGTTTTATTAACAATTCTTGGAAATACATGTTCTTAACTATCATGTTCTTAACTGCCTATATTTTACAATCCTTTGATTTGCAGCTTAAAATATTGCAACTGTATTAAGAAAAGGAAGTATAATGGAAATAGTTGAGGATTTAATGTATTTAACGAGTTGACAGTTCTCACTATAATAGTTAAAAACTAGATAATGTAAAGGCCATTTGATGAAAATTTCAGTCAAATTGATCCACTATGAACCGAGAATTAAGTTGTTGAATGTTCGGCCTAGCATCAATCATCATTACTAAAGTTGGTACGACAAAACTCATAGTCTCGATTATCCATTTAATCATTAAATTGTGAAGGAAAGTAATGCAGCAAATTGGATCATAATCCCACAAATATCGCAGGCTAGTGTTGACATCGAGAGTTGATTATGGTCTGGATAAGTTAATTAATGTCTAATTAATAGTTTATATAACATTTCAGGCCTACAGTAGGCAGATTTAGCTCTGGCATAATGTATGTTTAATTTAATTTGAAGTTGCACATCTGGAAAAAGAGCTAACATTAATGTTTCTTTGTAGGAAATCAACATTGCTGCAAAATTAATTTGTGCAGATGCGAAGATCCTTGTGTGACACTCATGAGGTACAGATTGTGGCCTTCCTCACCACAGAAGCCAAGAATTGTCTTTGACACGAAGTTTATGGAACTGATTGCATCTCTCCAGTTAGAATGTCATGTGCCAGCCAAGGCATTTTGTGAAGCTTTAATTTCTTCTGTCACATGATTTTGTAAGTATGATAGAAGCAAATTTGAACCTGTCAGGGCTTTATTTTATATGAAGACTATAGCTGTTTACCAGGCATTGCATGGGTATAGCCCTCAAATGCATCCTTAATGGAGTGGCATAAAACCAGAATTAGTGCAACACCTATGCGTCTCCCTGACTCGAACTGTTCTTATACCTCAATCTTCAGCCTTTTGACAGCCTTAGTGTAGCCACCAACCCAAAACAGACTGTCATAAATATATATATATAGATTAATGTTAAACCTGGAAATATGTAAAGACTTCTGACTATGTTAAAACAACATTGTTTTTTGTTTTTAGCCAAAAGATGTGTATAGAGCGTTAGTTGGTGATTCACTGATAGAATATCATTTCTATCGGTCATCTTTGCGAAGTTGTTTCAACACCAGAGAAACAACTTTTGGCAGAGAGTGTCCAGTTTGTGAACAGGTAAATAAGAATATAAGTTAACATACATCTTGCTAGTGGAGAAAACTCATTTGTTTTGATTTGATCTTTTTATATATTGAATATGCAGTAAAATGTTCCGTGTGTTAATAGTGAATACATAACTTTGAAAACATTTTACTTGTTTGTACATTTAAAGATACTTTCCCATGCACAACTGTGTGATTTTCTGTTGTTTAATTATATGTTTTTTGTATGTTACTTAACCCTGCAATGTTGCCCAAAACTGCCTAACCATTTGATCAAGAAATAACAGCTGTTTCCTCAGTCAAACTAGAATACAATAAGCTGTCGCACAGCTGCCGGGTTGCCAGTAAGTGATACCCTGACTTTTTTGTGCAGTGCTTGCCCCATGGGTGTTTGTTGGGTAGTCCAGTATTTTTCTAGTATATTTGGTGTGAGTACTTTCCATATATACCAAATTTGCCATACTTTTATTGGAAATAACCACCCGATAAATACTTTCGGGACAATCTTTAAATAAGCCTTAGAATTGTAATGATCTTCATTGACATTTAATAATTGAACATATTAACACAAGGTACAATTTTATGATACTCATCCCTATGAATCAAATGATAAAGATGATAGTATCCTCGTCAAAACGTTGCTAGTATTAAACTCGATAATTGTGTATCCATAAAATTGTACCTTGTGTTAATTGTAATGATGTGTAATATTTTTCTAAATCTTTATAGAATCCACCAATAATATCTCTTGATGCAAACTTTGGTCTTGTTCACAAGGCATCATCTGGAAAGGGAAAGGGTGCATCTAGACATAAGGACTTTCTGTGTTAAAGAAATCAATTGAGAAAAAAGATACTTTTGTTAATAAGATTGTCATGTATGACATATCTTGCACATTACACAAACACTTGCAGGTATATATAGAGTCTTGTCTATGCATGCATGAATATGTTGACACTTTTTGGAGCATATCAACCTGTTAATTGATTGTATTGAGATATTGTTTAATACCATGATTATGCTATAATTTTGTGGACACGTTCCAAGTATGTAATGAAATCCAAATAAAGACAAGTTAAGGTGGATTAGTGTTAAGAGTTAAGTTAAGCTCTGTATAAACTGATGGTTTACAATCCCCAAGCTAGATTGGAGGTTGAAATTGAAGAGACATGTCCATGTGTCTTAATTTTATAGAGAAAATAAACATGTATAAATGTCATTAAAATCTCACTATATTTGTTTATGAAATATACTATTCAAAAAAAGTAGGGGATATTTGATTTTGGGGGCATAATACTAAAATATGCAAATGACTACGAAAAAAGTCACTATAGAACCTAACAGATGAAACATTTCCAGTAACATGTGACGCCCAAACGCACCAATAGCTACCGCATGGAATGCAGGTGATGCTTGGGATCATCATGGGGGTCCAACCCAAGATTTGAATGACTCTGACTTTGAATGTTACAGTCATTGTGGCATTGAATTCCGGGGTGGAAACATCAGTTTAATTGTTTTAGTGACCAGAAAACAAATTTTGATATGCGTCGGCTTACCCAAAATGAAAGGTTACGTGCCCTTGGCATGCTACAGATCGGCACAACACAGGCGGTTGTGGCGCGGACGATGAATGTTTCTCAGTCTGTCATAAGCAGGCTATGGTCCAGATACCGTGATACACAATCTGTACAGGACAGACCACGCTCAGGTCGACCAAGGGCGACAACTCAAGCCCAGGATCGATTTATCCGTACCTTGGCCTTGAGAAATCGTGTCATCACAGCAAATCAGATCAGCGCTCGTCTTCAAACAGACACTGGTGTGAGAGTGAGTGGCCAGACGATTCGGAATCGACTGCATAGGGGTCACCTTCGCGCCCGACGTCCTCGCGTGATCCCTTGTTTGAGAGATCATCACATTCAGGCAAGACGTCGTTGGTGTAGGGATCGTCAACACTGGGATAATCGACGCTGGAGCAATGTGATGTTTTCAGATGAGTCAAGGTTCACTGTTGATTTTTTGGACAGACGTAGGAGGGTGTGGCGTCGTCCGAAACGAGCGCCTCCAAGACGTTAACGTCATCAGACATGATCGATTTGGGGGTGGTTCTGTTATGGTGTGGGTAGGCATCACTGTTGCTGGAAGAACGGCTTTACATGTTGTTGCAGGGCGTGTTACAGGCCAGTACTACCGGGACAACATCTTGGCAGTCCATGTTGTGCCGTTCGCACGACGTCATGGCCGCCGTTTCATCTTCCAGGATGACAACGCAAGATGTCACAGGGCCAGGATCGTTACAGGTTACCTCCAACAACAGAACATCACCACATTACCTTGGCCAGCACTGAGTCCCGACCTCTCCCCCATCGAGCATGTCTGGGACATGCTTGGACAGAGGTTACGTCAACGTCAACAACGTCCTGCCAATGTCCAAGAACTTGCTGCTGCGTTGCAACAGGAATGGGACAATCTGGACCAAAATGACCTTAGACGTCTCATTAGGAGTATGCCACGTCGGATCAATGCTTGTTTGGCAAACAGAGGAGGATTTACCCGTTACTGACTCGGTTGTGATGCTGTGGTAACTTTGCTGTTTGACCCCGGGTATCATTTTATCCTTATAATGGTCAGTCTGTGCCTTACTTAGTCTAACGATCATTTGGAATAAATCGATGAATGTGAACTTCATTTCATTTTGTCATTTGTTTCTTCGTCAGTTTCATTAGGTGACTTTAATAACACTTAAAAATCAAATATCCCCTACTTTTTTGGAATAGTATATTAGTAATATTATTTTTATTTCAAAACTGCAAGTTAATGTATGGTTTCCCCCCCCCCCCCCCCAGTCCTTTGCATTGTCAGAATTTACTTCAATTTGAATATAGACAAAAGCCAGCTTTGTCAATATGTGACAATTATTACACATTGCTTAGATATAATTATATTGCTTTATATTTACTTTCATGTTCTTACAACTATTTTTTATTTTAACAGAAAACTGAGAATTTTCAATTGTTAGATCACCATAATTTTTCTGTACCAGTATTCCACAGTTTTGCTCACAACCTACACTGTCAGGTAAACTCACACTATTAGTAATATTCAATATATTTCACAAATTAAAATGTGGATTATATGGATAGAATGTTATTAATGTCAACATTTGATTCATATTTCATTCTACCTGTCAAATATTTTCAATTGAAATACTTTCTCTCTCAGTGTTGCATGATAATTTAAACCCTACATGAAATCTATATTAAAGAATCGTTAATTCTATAAGACATTGCAGTATTATGTAATATCAACAAGTATTTTATTAATCTTTTCTTTAAAAATGAGGTGTTGCAGCATTATATAATTTTTTTTATCCTAAAATCAATTTCTCTAACTTTAATTGAAAAAGCTTTAATTTAATGATCATTTTCTTAAAGTTGAAATATGGTCAGAGATATCAGATATGTGACTGGCACAGGAATGACAGATGGAGAAGGAATGTCATATGATAACAGATGTGATTCACTGACAGAAGCAGTTCTTCATAAGACATCACAGATTATCTCCGATTTTGGTAATGATTATTCATGATTTACTAGATTAGATAAATCCACAAAAAAATAAAGACATAGCTCTATTGACGTTAGTGAGACAAAATAGCATATTTAATTTCTGGTAATTACATTTATAGCTATTGCCTTTAATGAATTTGTCTGTTCTTTTAGAGTTATGATGCTAGATCATTTATGAACAATTTCGTTGACTCCTAAAATTTGAAATTATTGCGTTTATTAGGAATGTATGCATTGCATACGTTAGAAAGATGGTCCAAGCTTTTATGGTGGCATTTAAGAGGAACCCAGTTGAGATTTAGGATTGTGTATCAATATTATGCAGGCTTTTTGGAATTTTTCTCTTTTCAGTTTTGTTTGGATTGTTCTGCAAATCTTTATTAGGAACCCTATTTAGTTTTATGTGAAAACTTGAGATCACAATTTTGGGGGATTAATTAAATACAATGACCAATTTGCCACCCTTCAAAAAGCTGCTGAGAGGCATATATGGATTGCCTGCCAAAAATTCTGTTGACCAGGACTTGATGGCCATCTATGTGTATTAGATTCTAGGTAGTAAGAGCAGTTTCTCACCATTTTTCATCAAATGTAAATGGAACCTAGGTCCTAGTGTTATTAGCTTGCTCTTCTTTTTCAGGTACACGTTTACATATTAAAATAAAGAAAGCTGAAAAAACAATATCAAACTGTTCAGAAATTATGAGTAGTGTAACAACTACTTGTCTTAAACATATATGGTCACTACACATGTGATATAAGTAAAATTAATGTGTTCAAATTTAATAGAAATGCAATATATTGTTAATTACATACCTCACATGCCAAACAGACAAACAAAATTCTATATTATTGGAAACAACAACAAGGTCTTGAAAAATTAACTTGATCTTAGAAAATGATTGTGGGCAGTATTTAATTAGACATTGTAACCTGGATATCATTTAATCGTGTGTATTTTGTGCTTATTTCGTTCACATTCATTCAATATCAAATCTTTGTCTAAAAACTCGTACACATCATTTGATATTGTACTTGTGTCCAGTTTAAAGCTGATTGATTGATTTTGATAATGAGTGTTTAATTTAGAAGTGTTTAATTTCCTGACCACTGTTCAAAAATTAATCATTATACATCAATAATCAGTTAGGTGGTTTATTTTATAACAGTGATCAAGAAATTAGACACTTGTAATTTGGGACATTTATTATCAAAATTGAATTGTCTGCTCTAGATGATTTGTGGTGGTTTTAAGCGTTATTTTTTTTCAAGTTTTTAAACAAAGATTTGATATTGAATGAATGTGAAAGAAATAAGTGCTAAATACACAAGATGAAATGATACCCGAGTTACAGTGTGACCTTCTTATGATTGATTTGTTAATAATAAATACACATTTCTTTTTCAGTTGATATTGATTCTGCAAAGAATTGGCTGATGAAATGGAAATCTGAACTGGAAATGTCCCTGGTAAGCTTCATAATTTTTATACGCCCTGTTTGATGTGGATGTATATTATCTCCAGCTGGATCCATCCACAATTTCATATGAACATACTACCTGTCAAAAAGAGTTCATGACAGATTTTGTTGAAATTTGATGGAATTGTTCATAAGCCCTGTCTATGTTTCTGTTTAGCAACTTGAATAACTATTTACAGGCTAAACTGGAACATTGGTATCATGAACTAATTATGATATTTATCCTAGTTTCATATACTCTGTATCGTATTGGCTACCATGTACATGTTGCATAATAACTTATCTTTTTTTCTATTTAAGCAACTAATTTAAATTCCGAAGAATTATATGTTGAGAATTTGTTATTAGTCAGATGTAAAGGTAAATATACATAAATGTGACTTGTTTTTTTCAAAGATAAGATTTCTGACACTTTTGGTTGTGTAGTGTTGTAGGTTGGGACGTTTTTGTGTCTTTTATTAAAGCTTTATCTATCCAAACAAGGTTTGGGTGATGCCAGGTAGAGAGAACCCTGGGCTCACCAACCTAAAATGTGTCGGAAAATTGAAAGATAGCATTGCTATGATATATTATTATTACGCACTTATACAGCACACAACTGCTACATAAATGTGATCAAGGGTGCTTTACAAGGACATATTATAGAATAAAACACTATTACATTTACATGATAAATTTTTGTTTAGATAGAATTACATGTAATTAAATATAGCACTGGATGACCTGGCGCCTGGTACGTTCGGGCATTTTTATGCGCGAACTCTTAGGTTTTTTTTACTGGCATGCGCACAGGTACTATTTCTTTTTCTTTTAACAAGTACCCAAATCGGGGATTTCGTGCGGAGGTAGTTCGGAGGTAAACAGTCTGTGAAGTACAACACTTGCCACTGTACCTGTGTATCGCTAATTATAAACCGAATGTGTGAAGACAGTTCATACATATCACTCAAAAATTTTTCAGTACAAACTCAGTTGATTCACGCTCGATTTGCTACTAAACAAACCCATCGGTTCATTTTCTCAACAGTGTGACCCGAAGTGACCGCGGATTTATTGACCTTGTATGAACTTATCCATAGCTATATCCTTACACCGAGAGAAATTATCTAGTCTCGGTGAAAAGAACCATGGTCATCTGGTAGAAAATTACTTTTGTATTTTTTGGAACGGAAAACAGTGTTTTTAGAAGCAAACTAACCTGCCGCACATGAGGAAGTCATTATACTAATAATAAAAGGCGAGACCTCTTTTTGCGGCGCAGGCTTATCACTGAGTAGTAAACCGTCCACAAACAATAATATAGGAAGACGAGTGACGAGTGTAGTAAGTAGGCTATAGACTATAGGCTTGAGTCGAGATTACTCGCTTTCAGTTTACTCTGTTTTTGCGATAACCAATTATGTGAAAAATACCATACTGACATTCGGTTTTTAAAAGTTGTACGCGAACTAAATGCGTTTGTTAGATACTGACAGAGCAGCCCCGAGTCGAACAATCGCCGCCCGAGCTGTCTTCGTCAGCTAGTTTCACAAGATCGTGCAATAGGTGTATTAATGTGATTTTTAGGTTTAACCCCGCAAACAATGCCAAAATAGTGTTTTCACTGCTTACAGAAAACTGAAATTTAAAAAAAAAATTTTTTATGAGGGCGACCCTCCCACACACTCCCTATCGAGCTGCCGCTCGGTCTGCGCAGCCTCATGCCTGGCACATACTGTCAACATTGTATATTTTTCCGTTTCCGCCCTCCCCCCCCCCCCCCCACAATATATATTTCTATGGCTACGTTGCGACGGTACCAGCATACCCAGTTGTTGACACCCATTACATCACTCCTGTCTAACAAATCATAAAGCTGTGGTGTTACGGTGGCGGCATAGTATTTCACCGTAACACCACAGCCACTCTAACCATTCATAATACATCTAACTATCCCTTTACAGCACTTCACTCCCTACACATTTCCCCTCGTCCTACTTTCCCAAACGTCAACAACACATCTCGCTGATTAACCCTTGTACCACGTCTACTGGATAATCTACCTATTAAAATGATCACAGGTTAAAATCCTTTTTAAATGAATAGTCTTTAGTTTTAAACATAGCAATATCAGTGATATTACGAATTTGAATTGGTATTTATCCAGAGACATCACAGAATGTATCCAATTATCTCAGTTCAAATCTAAATTAAAGACTCATCTGTTGAAAGAATCGTATAAATAAAATCACACGTGTACCATTATATAAATATGCTGGTACAGTGCTTAGAAATAACTATTGTTATAATATAGCACTTTAAAAATGAAATTATTATAATAATAACAGTAATTGTACATTAAATGTCTGGTAACCATATGATGATAAATTATACAACTGCTGTATAATGATGATTAATAATGTACATTTTTGTGTTAATTCATCAAATATTTATTGCAGACACATCCTAGAAACAGGTCCTACCGATCTAACAGAAAAGAAAAAGATTGAGAGAGATCTAGAAAGGTATTACGAATGTATAGTATATTAACATCAACTATGCTAAATATAACAAAATCAAATGAACTAGTTATCAAAAATTCCTGTACAGGTCTACTTAGATCATAGCCTTTGTCCAAAAGCATCTGCTGAAATATTAAGGACATTATAACTTTAAGACATCTATAGCTGACAGATGGTTTTGCAGTTCTCTTGTAAATTTTACAGGCAATCTTATTTGAACATCCCTGGTATAACTGTCAAATCACGCCAAATTAAAAACAAAGTTTTACCAGATGGAGAAGTTCTCATGAGTTCGAATGTCTCTTCAAGTAATCCCAAGTTCATATTCATGTAAAAGCAGATAATTGAGGCTATTTAATCAAATTTTGTCTGTACTTACTGCAGTTTAATTTGTTGATCATTGAAATCATTTGGTTATCAGTGTCTTTCTGTGCATAATTAATAAGCCTACTGGAATCTGATTGGTCAATATCAACTATTAATATATCTTTATAATAAATCTGCAGTTGGGAGTCCTTGCATTTAATATCGATGGGTGTGGGCGTATGTTGCATTCACTGTTATCTACCCATCCTGTGAACACTCTATTCACTTACGACATTTTGGACCACAGCTAACTCGGATTGCTTGTTTTTAATACCATAATTTGCTTTTTTGTTTAAGCCTCAAGAAAGAAAGAGTCAAATTAAAAAAGAATGTGTGCAATTTAGTTGTAGAAAGTGATGTCAATTTTGAAAATGAGCCTTTTAATTGTATTTTGAAAAGTGCTCAAAAAAAGCGCAGTATTAATAGCCTTGAAAAACTAAGACATTATTCCAGTGAACGACAGTATTTGTCTTCATTGATGAAAAAGTATGCAGGTAAGTAATCAGTTATATAAAACTGCTTCATTGTAAGAATAGAAGGATGGCATGCGCTTTAGATCGTAAGGTCTGTCATTGGGTCAAGTGGCATGTTTTTGATTCCCGCTTGTACATGACAAGGAGTAGGCTCACCTGTCTAACCTGGTGGTCTATCTCTGGATACTTTGATCCCCCTCCCCCTGCTAAAGACCCCTAGACGAAACTAAATTAATGAAATTGGAACATATGTTAGTTTCGAAATAACCCGGTTTGTGTTGAGTGGACAGGAAACACAATTTTAACAGAAGGGTTACAGAAGAACTTTACTACCATTTTCAAGCTCCGTTCCACTATTTTTGAGTAACTCATTTTGAACTGAAGGAATTGTACATTGTCATTTACAGGGATGGAAATAGAGGTCCAATATTATCACATATATCGGTGTTAATTATGAGACTGTATGTGTTAGTCTCAAAACAGCCAGTTGATATATTCAAGTTATATATATGTAAAAATTATATCAGAGTATATCGTCAACAAAACAATAATAATAGAAAGAATATAGTATAATTAGTGTATATATCTATTTTCAGATGGTCAAGTTTTGGGCTCCTGTATCAGTAGAAAGTTGACGGCAAATTCCGGAAAAATTAGAAAAGAATTAACTATTCTTAACGATGGACATTTTGCGTCCAGGACAGAGTTCTGTGATGTTTCTTTACCAACGTTGCCAATTTTTGATGAATTGTCAGAGTGTTCTTTGAATTCAGATCAAATAAATGTTGCAGAAGCAGTTTCTTTGAAAGAACATGCACATGAAGAAATAACAGTCGTTCATTGTGAAATTGCTACTTATCACCGTTACTTGTTGAGTGCAATTAATAATATTAGATCTGAAACTAAGGCTGACCTTAAAAATATCTTTGTTTCGCCTAACGCGACCGACTAACTAAAACCACCCCCGACTTAAATTATTTTATTGCACTTTTCCACGATCTTTTTATTTTATTTTGTGTGTCAACCTGAAATATATCATGAGAGTTATTTCCCTATACTATGGCTATGGTTTGATTCATTATTGAAACTGGTTGATCAAGACGAAAGCGTCATAGGTGTCGCTTCTCAACAAAATGGTTGCAGACGAATACACGTCCATTCCCACGAAATAATTCTGCCTCTATGTCTGTGGTGCGTAGTTTTAAACATGACGACGATATTTTCAATATCCGTTTTCGAGAAAAATGAAAGCACAACGCGCACTATCGTTAAAAACGTGTTGAAGGAGTTTCACACTTCAAGTTCGTGGCTAATCGTGTGCGAGTCGGGCATCACGAAAAATCCCGATGTCATTGATTTGTTTGCCAATAAAGAAGACGAATGTTTCCACCCGGAAAATTATTAAGCTGTCAAATTAGCTCTTAAGTTTAATAAAAACTTTCAGTTCGTTACTTTTTACGTCAGACCCCAAATTCATTAAACAAAATTAATGAATCTGTAGTATACAGCTAATAAGTTTTCTGTATTGATTTCTCTGACTTTAAAAAAAAATCTGAAAAAAAACGACCTACCGACCCTTCTCCTCGATTGTGGGTCGGGTTTGGTGAAACAAAGATATTTTTAAGGTCAGCCTAAAGATCTACAATTGTCTTCCTCCACAGAAGAACTTAGATATATGTGTTTAAAAATCCATTATTTATCGACACATCTTTACAGATTAACTAAACAATATATCAAGTCAAGAGAATTATTTGAAAGCGCTGGAATAGAACATAATTCTGCTTCAGATTTGAATGAATTGATACTGTGCTATGTCCAACCTGAAAAACCTTTGTCATCAGAGGAATTAATAGATATAATAACAGATATACAAAGCTGTGATTTAGAATTTGATGAAAGTGATGTTGATGAAACAAGTAGTGATACAGAGGATACTGACTCTGAGTTGGATGATAATTAATGCTGTATTGCAAAAGTGTATATTAGCTAAATAAGATTTTGATTTTCTTTTTAGAAAGCTGTACAACGCTGCAGAGTTGTCTATAACTTTTCTTACCATGAACATTTTGTTAGCAATGCCTGATGAAACCTGCATGTAATAAGCCCGTAAAATTACCCTTTTTCATTTGAAAATATATATATACCCTACATTTGTTTGTTTTGGATTTATTTGAATTTGAGATCTAAAAAAATAACAAAATTTTCTCCTTTTTATATCTTTTGACAAATCTACATATTTTTGTATCGTGATCTTTCTGGTGGCAATGTCAGATGGGGTGTATAGTCCCTGGCGTGGACGGAATAAGCCCGAAACTTTGTCTTGATACCATCGGACATTGCCATGCCAATTTTGAAATGAGTGAAAAATTGAAAGAGCAGTTTTGTCAGGTGCAGCATACAAAATTTTTTCTTTTTTGTCTTTGAGATATCTTGATCTTTTTATAACATGATCTTTTTGATAGCGATGTCTGATGGGAAATATAGGATTATAAGTCCCTGGAGTGGATGGAATAAGCCCGTAAACTTTTTCTTGCTCCCATCAGACATTGCCACAGCCATTTGTAAATATGGGTGGAATATTGAAACAGCAACTTTATGTCTTGTGTAGCATTCTCAATATTTAAAAGTAACATGAAAGTACATTATTTATTCATATGTGGATCTTTCAGTCTGAAATTATCAGATATATATCACCCAGTACAATAGTATAGGTTGTTATTAATTAAGTAAATTGTCATATAGATCAACTCAACTTACTAAACCACTCACTAGTAAACTATTGACAGCAATACTTTGTAATAGACTGTTGACAGCCCGACCTCGTAATGAAACACCAGTAGCTTTTTATGATAGTAGTATATCACCATATACAATAGTATAACAGTATAAGCCAGTTGTATATATCACCATATACAATAGTAAAATATGTTAGTAATTAAGTCAGTTGTCATGATAGTAGTATATCACCATATTATACAATAGTAATGCATGTCAGTAATTAACTCAGGTATCATTTGGTTGTATATCTCCATGTACAGTAGTATAACATGTCAGTTAAAAACTAGTTGTTTATCACCATGTACAGTAGTATAACATGTCAGTAATTAAGCCAGTTATCACCTAGTTGTATATCACCAAATACAGTAGTATAACAGTAATTAACCAAGCTATTGTCTAGTTGTATATCACCATTTACACTACTGTGGTATATTATCATGTACAGTATTATAACATGTCAAGTCAATTATCAACTAGTTGTATATCACCATGTACAGTAGTATAACATGTTAGTAATTAAGTCAGTTATCAACTAGTTGTATATCACCATGTACAGTAGTATAACATGTCAGTAATTAAGTCAGGTATCATGTAGTTGTATATCACCATGTACAGTAGTATAACATGTCAGTAATTAACCATGTTATTTTATAGTTGTATAACACCATTTACAGTGGTATATTATCATGTACGGTATTATAACATGTCAGTAATTACGTCAGCTATCATCTAGTTGTATATCACCATGTACAGTAGTATAACAGTAATTAATTAACCATGTTATTATATAGCTGCATAACACCATGTACAGTAGTATAACATGTCAGTTAAAAACTAGTTGTTTATCACAATGTACAGTAGTATAACATGTCAGTAATTAAGTCAGTTATCATCTAGTTGTATATCAGCATGTACAGTAGTACAACATGTCAGTTAACATCTAGTTGTATATCAGCATGTACAGTAGTACAACATGTCAGTTAACAACTAGTTGTATATGACCATGTACAGTAGTACAACATGTCAGTTAACAACTAGTTGTATATGACCATGTACAGTAGTATAACATGTCAGTTAACAACTAGTTGTATATGACCATGTACAGTAGTACAACATGTCAGTTAACAACTAGTTGTATATGACCATGTACAGTAGTATAACATGTCAGTTAACAAATAGTTGTATATCACCATGTACAGTAGTATAACATGTCAGTAATTAAGTCAGTTGTCATCTCGTTGTATATCACCACGTACAGTAGTATGACATGTCAGTAATTGAGTCAGTTGTCATCTAGTTGTATATCACCATGTGCAGTAGTATAACATGTCAGTTATAAAGTCATCTAGTTTTATATCTCCATGTACAGTAGTATAATATGGCGGTTATCATAGAATGTTAATTATTGTGTAGATATATGTGTGTTTCAATGTAATTTTTAAATCATTACTCTTTTGGTTATATTAATGTCAAATAAATTATTTTATTACAATGGAGTAGTTGGTGTATTCTGTTCAATTGAAATATCTGACCAGAAGAAAAAAGAATTTAACTTAAACAGTAATATTCAAATACCAAAGTCCAGCTTTCTTCAGCTGCCCGACTAGACTTTCTTGACTAGCGATTAGCTTATCTGCATAACCTGTCTACAGCTCAATTGCATGTGCAGTGGCAACTTCCCACTTACTGTTTACGGTTGGTTTTTCTCTAGTAACAGGATTTGCAGGCTATTCTTGGGCTCTAATTACTAGTTGGAAAAGTTTAAAAACCTGGTATATAGGCCATAACCTAAAATTTTGGATCATATGACTTCTCCTTAATAGATTATGCCAGCTTGTCAAAGTTCTGATCAGGGTTTGGAAATGTGGCACTTACAACTATGATTGTAAGATGACGTTACTCATTTGAGCTGCTGGCAGGAGTGGATATTGCAGGGTTTGGGTTGAATTTTAGAGCAGTCGAGAGGGATGCTTCAAGAAGACATCACAATTTAAAAAGATTCTGAGATGCCCTTCATTTTGAAAAGAGAGAACATTTTAGAATAATCCCTCCCCTTTTTTATGAGCCGACTCTAACACATCCTACATGCAATATGAGTAATCCGAGTGGTCGATAGATTTTCAAGTATAGTCTAACTTTAGCTAAAGTAGTAGACCCTACAATAATTTAAAAAGTTAAATATTACTGAGCGTAAATAAAGAGGGTTCAACTAGCTTTTTGTACGATATTATTGCCTACCTTGTGTTTGATAACGACAATATATATTAAACGTCGCACTATTAAAGTTGCCAGTGATGTTATTTCAACTAAGCTCTTTTCTCCGCGAGACTCGTCTACAGATATTAGTATACGTCGTTTCTGGAGTTTTACGTCCACTTCCACCTGAGGTGATATCGTAGACAAGTGTTTCCTAAGAAACTAGCCAGTGTTAGCCGCAGAAAGGGGGCTAGGTTGGCTTTTAGGTAAGACATTGTGTCTTTGCAGGGTAGCGCCCAAGGTCAGTTTCATCCAAAGGAGGAACTCCGCGTGGTATTATGGTACAGACTCTTCCTTTTTTATTTTTGCGCGTGCTTTGTTCAGGTGTTTCTTGGTTACACCAGCGCTCAATTATCTGGCGTATTACAAGTAAATTAAGTAATGGTAATCAGAAGATTTTAAAATAAATCCACTTCATGATAACAAATATATTTTTCCTGATAGTTTAGATATGGTTTCTAATCGATGAGTTATGGAAACATATCTCTCCGGTTATTTTCTTGGTGAAATTTAAAATGCGGCTTAAAGTTACCCTTGACTCGCCACTTTCTGTTTTCCAATGAAAAAAACCCCAACCTTATTTTCAACGAATTTGCAGACTAGCTTGATTGATTTTTAAACAAAAAATCCGAATAGTGTTATGTATTTGACATAAGTTGAATGTAGGCATGGTATATTTCAAACTGAAATTGTATCCCAGAATTTGAATTTTCCACCTGCATAATCATTGTCGACATTAATAATGTATTATATAATATTTTTGAAATTGATTGACTTATATATTAATTTTAACAAACGACTTGTTTGTGCTAGTGCTGCCTCAATGCGAACATTATATTTCTGACGCAAATTTTAATCATCTGTACCTGTCGTAGTTTAATCATCAGTTAGAATGTTAGAATGATATTGAAATTCTCTGTACATAATAATTTGGAAATAAATTCAATATTTAAATGACTATCGCATTATAAAAGCTACCAGACCAGGGGACCAAAGATACGTTCTGTGAGTCTGTATATATTTCCCCTGTTTCTCTGTGTTATTCGAACACTGACACATATCTGTTTGTTACACACACAAGGTGGGGTTCATTTTTGATGCGACTGTTCACCCTGCATACTGAAATTTTTATTTAATAAGCGGTAAAGATATTTGTACCCAAAATATATGTCATCTCCCATGTTTAGTACTAATGTTTAGTAGTCGGTGTCACAAATCTTACGGCATGCATTTGACTATAATATACATACTTGTATATGCGCAAGAGGCGTTACTACAAACTTGGAATAGTTTCAAGATAATTTTCTCACAGCCTATTAAAACATTGGCAATCGAATGATTTTCGTGTTCATTATAGGGCATTTGATGGCTCTGCTCTGACGTATCTATTTATGCAAAACCAGTCACAATTGAGTATACCCATATGACCCTTTAAACTATCTTTCGGTCTAGCATAAAGCCGCTGATCCATCAGCCTGTATACGGAGAATTAGCACCTGAAGGTGGTCCCATTATCGGTCTGCATATACTAATTTATCATTCCGTTTTGTTTAGTTTTAAAGCAGTGAAGATATTACCGTAGTACCCAATCACATATGAAATCCCCAGTGTTCCCCCTATTGTTTAGTAGTCGGTGTGCACAAAAAAGCTTACGGTATGCAACTTCTAAGCATTTGGCTATAATATTTTCGCAAGATATAGGCGTTACTGCACACTTGAAATAGTTTCAAGATTATTTTGGCACAGCCTAATAAAATATTGGCAATAAGCATATTTCGCTTGTTATGATACCTTCATGAATAATCGAATTTATTAAGGTCTTTGGTGGCTCTGCTCTGAATTATCTGTTTACCCTTATGACCCTTTAAACTACATTGCCACCGACCGATCAGCCTCTCTAGGGAGAATTTGTACCCGAAGGTGATCCCTTCTCGTTCCGCATATACTAATGTACCAATTCGTTTTTCTTATTATCTTCTGATTTTTATACTACACTGTAATCTAATCAACCTATTATCATCAAAATGCCGGAAAGAGTGGCACTTATATCTCGAAGTTGTATTCCATGTGGATAACCCCATAGCCATTCATAAACACGCCAACGACTCGATTCTAATCAGATTGTTAATGTATTGTATACACACATAAAATCTGCATTTTTAAGAAAGTAAACACAGATACATCAACAATAAAATCGATACTATATTACACAAATTCAACCAATCCATACACGTGCTGTTACAATAAGTGTTCCACAAGGATCTGAATTGGGACCTTTACCTTTTCTCTAATACATTCTTCCAATTGGTCAAATCATAAGAAGACATGGGGTACAAAACCACACCCAAATATAGAACTACTTTCAGAACAACAACTATCTTGCTTCCAAGGATTCTATCAGTAGACTATATAGAGTCTTATCTTCATGCCATTCGAGGATGGATGACCAGAAATAGGTTAAAATTTAACGATGATAAATCCGAATTTCTTGTCATATCATGAAAATCACAATCTAGTAAATTGTTTAAAGCGGATTCCCTTCATATCGGTTTTTGCTCTATATCTCCCAAGAAGCAGGCTAAAAATCTTGGCTATGTGACATGATGAATAGTTCCCCAAATCAATAGTATCATATGGAAAATGCATATTCAAATGAGAGCTATTTCGAGAATACGCCCTAATCTTAATACTGATGCTTGCCAGAGTGTTGTTAGAGCATTAGTAACATCGTATCATGGACTATGCAAATTCACTTCTTTAAGGAGCACCAGAATCTGCTTTAAACAGACTACAAATAGCGCAAAACAATACTGCAATTCCCATAACTAGAACACGAAAATTTAATCAGCTAAGTTACAGAAACTCCATTGGCTTCCAGTTCGAGCGAGGGTTCAATTTTAAAACTCATGTGAATCAATTTATTCTGACAGCATAAAGCCGCTGACCGATCAGTCTGTATAGGGAGAATTTGCACCTGAAGGTGGTCACCTTATCGGTCTGCATATACTGATTTACCAATTCGTTTTGTTTAATTTATAAGCCGAATAGATGTTACCGTAGTATCCAAAGAATATGTGATCCCCAGTTTTCCCTCTAGTGTCTGTATAGGGAGAATTTGCACCTGAAGGTGCCCCCCCATCGTTCTGCATATACTAATTCACCAATTCGTTTTTCTTATTATCTTCTGATTTTTAATCAGATTGTTAATGACTTGTACACACACGTAAAATCAACATTTTTAAATACACACACGTAAAATCTACATTTTTAAATAAGTAAACAAAGATATATCGACAATAAATTCATATTTTATTACACAAATTCAACCAATTCATACACTAAATGTACGCCACTGTTTATTACACAGAAATAAAAAAGATCATTTACATATCACTACACTACATAATAACTGAGTTAATTACTACATATTATCAAGATGACTTTATTACTGACATGTTATACCCCACATAACAATATGATGTTAATTTTACGTTACATTTACGTAAAAATGGTCAGTCAGTTTACCATCATTTTGCTCATCTTTTTAACGATAATTTTACGTCAGGAAATGACGTTAATCTAACGTAAACTTTACGTCATTTTTACGTTATATTTACGTCATTTTCTGACGTAAATCTAACGTAAAGTTTACGTCATTTTCTGACGTAAATCTAACGTAAATTTTGCGTAAAGTTTACGTCATTTTGGTTAGATTTACGTCAGAAAATGACGTAAACTTTACGTTAGATTGTTGTTAAAAGGATGAGCAAAATGATGGATATCTAACCGACCATTATGACGTAAATCTAACATTAAATTAACATCATTTACGGATGCAATTCTAATGTCAAATTTTGATGAGCAAAGTTACGAAAATATAACCAGCCATTAAAACCTTCAAAATTATTCATTATTTGCCGCAGTAAATGGGAAGTACATTCAACCAATAATCAAATTTTCCTGACCCGTGGGTGAGGCTAGAAGTTGAGTGGTCCAACATGTGCGCTTTAGATCATAAGGTCTGTCATTGAGTCAAGTGGTTTGTTTCCACACCCAACTTGAACATGGGTTTTCTCTGGGTCCTCCTACTACTAAAGATTCCTGGTGCGAGTGAATTATTCAACTTGAATTGAATCACTTAGTCCCAAAGGACAGTTTATGTCTATTGGATGTTTTACCCCATT